TTATATCTTTTACTTCTGTGTATGCACATTTAATGGTTTGTTTTCTAAGCTTTCCATTTTATGTTTAGATCTTCAATGCATAATTACATCGTATTCTTTTTTGGTCAAAGAATTACATCATATTCATGAATGAAAAGGTAAATGTTTCAACCTTTCCCTGGGGTCCACAGGCTGGCCTTGTTCTTGTCTTAGGAAGACAACTGAAGTTTAAATCAGGGGTTTATTCCTGTCCGTATTAATAAATTTAGTCACATACTCAGTAAAAACAAATGGTGATTCACATTCTTCGTGCCTTTTCCTTTTCAGTTAGAAGATATAGTTGTGATTGTGAACGAGACCGGTAATGGTGGCCAAACACTTTGACTTGTGCTATGCTTTTAGATTAATCAGAAAAACAAACATGAGGTTATCCAATTTATGCCCTGCCTAACGTCCTGGAAGTTTGTGATTGATAACTAATTTTACTGATTTATCTGTTATTTTGCTTCAATTAATTGTTTTTCTTTGATGATAAATTGGGATTTGATATTTGCAAGGGGGCAGAGATGATTCCCTCAGTTGAAAGCTTTGTTGCAGACAACGTTGTGATTCCTCCATTGTCTGTTATGAGGCAATTGGCTACAGCTGTTGAGTAAGTCTTTGCATTCTGGAAATTCATTGCCTAATAGGTCTTCTTTCTCTGTTTCTCTTGCAATGAACTTATGAAATCTTTCCGACTTTTGGAGTCCAATTGGTCAATTGCAATCTTTGAACATTTCGAATATGTATATATGTTAAACGAATATCAATAGTTTTGGATTGTTATCCTTGGAAGCGAATGTGTTTTCTATTGGAAAGCCTATTGCAGTGCAATGCAATCAATGTGGCACTAGATGTGTTCTAAGTTTTTCAAAATGGTTCTACATATCAATATGAGTTTTCAGTTTGTACATGATTTCCTAACTTTCTTCATTAAATATTTTGGAACCTTTATCCAGGGCTGGAAAGAAGTTAAAATCATTGAAAGATTTTTTGGCAACATCAGGAAGTTCTTCGCCTGTCAGGGAGAGAACAAGCCTGAGTCTCTATGCAGTGAGGTCCTTAGTGCTTCGTGAAAAGGATGAAAGGCCATCGGATTTTGGTAATAATGAGAAGGTTCGAGCATTAATCCGCTCGCTGTTTGATGCAGGTATACGTTAGGTGACCTCATGACAGTTACTCTCTGTGTTGGTTTTCTTATTCCTAAATTTTTATTCACTATCCTGTTATGATCTTTCACTTCCGTTGTAATATTTGCAAGATATTCGCAGAGGGAAATTTTCTAAGACGGAAGATCGATTCTGGTTCAGAGGCAATTACAACAGCATCTTTGCCAAGAGATATTCACGGTGCTCCTCCTGAAAGCCTGGTTGTTAAGCTAGCTGAAGTTGCTGGGAGCTTCAGAACCCTCAAGAAAATGACACTGTTTTGGTGCAGAGTTGTTGAAGAGGTAAGTTTTGTATAAAATATGAGTTACTTGAGCTTTTGGCAATGGCTTGCAATGAAAAGAAAAAAGAGAAAATGTTCCAACACTTCTAACTGCTTGTTTTACAACCGTAGCACATTATATATTTTCTGGAAGTTACCCTTCTTTGAATAAGTGTTTGTGTCTAGGTTTGAATATTTTTGTGATCTCGAGTTGAAACTTATTATCTTAAACTGGAAAAGTAAATTTTAGGTTCAGTTTCAGGTATAGACAACTTTAATGTCATATTTTAGTGCAATATTATCCTTCCAAAGGCAGTTGTACTAAGAAAATATCTCATCCTCTTAAAATTTTAGAGTTCTTTTATGTTTATTACTTTGCTCCACTTGAATTGAATGCATACTACGCTGGTTATCATTAATTATGTTGACAAAGTATGTTTTGAATGTACTTCACATGCAGCTGAGAAGACTTTGGTCTGAAGAAGAACATGTACCTAGCATTCCCATAGATGAGATTCCAGATCTGAATTCCTGTCTTTTGTATCAGCGGCTGCAAGTTATCAACTGTTGTATTTCCAGGAAAAGGCGGCGTGCTATTGCCACTGAAACATTAGACTTTGTAATAACGGAAGCCAGTCCAAAGGCAGAAGAATCTGCCATCTCCAACGACAATCCTGCAGGCCCTATGTTGTATGCTACACTAAGCACTGGGGAACTTGTCCTCCGACTAGGTGCTGATCGACCATTTGGTAATGTGACAATGTTGGAAACTGGGGAACCTGTGTACTGCCCTGTGACCCAGGTATGTTTAATAGCTTGTCCTTAAAGGATAACTATTTTACCTTGGTCCTGTAAATGAGATATATCATATATGTGCATTGTTACATGTAGGAAGGACCTTTGCTAACTGAAGATCTTATCAAAGAAACAGAGGAGTTTGTGCTTCGAACAGGAAGGTTTTTATTTGACTTAATTCTTAGTCCTTTTCGCATTTTTTATATATTTTCTAAGTTCTCTGAATATATACGTATACTTACGCACTCAAACCTGCATACTTTTTATTCTTATTTTTCCATACATTCTCTGACAAATTGCCTATCTTTTGTGGGCAGCGTTGGTGCTGGATGTTCTCAACTCCTGTCTGACATGCAGGCTTTCAAGGTTTCCACTAATGAAAGTTTATCTTACAGATGAATTCTATTTGTCGACTGTTCAAGTTGACTAAGTTCTGCTGATTATGATATGCAGGCTGCAAATCCTGGTTGTATTTTGGAAGATTTTGTGAGATGGCACTCCCCTCCTGACTGGTCGGAGACTGAACCAGAGGATAGAGACTCTTTTGATGGTAGTGATGCATTGTCCACAAGAGGATATCTAAGTAGTCGAATGCAAAAAGAAGGTGCCACAACATCCTGTCTTTCAATTTCTGTCTAAATTGTGACGAATGGTAGTTTGTATATCCAAGGTTAACAGTTATAGGAGAATGTCAAATACAGACTGAAAATTGGTTTGCTTTATAAGATAATAGATGCAATATATAATATGCGATAGTAGAAATTAGATGTATTATTCGACAATGAGCTTGGGCATGTATGCTGTGCTATTAGTGTGCTTTGTTCCTGAGGTGCTCTGGCAATTGTATTAGACGTTTTTATGCATGCATCTATTTGATAACCTAATCTAGTGAACATGTAAGTAACCATGAACAGGCAGGTAATCTGACTGTCATAAGCCCATCTCATCTGATATTTAAGATCATTCTGGTCTTAATTTCTAATGGGTGTTCTTTCTTTCTCTGATCTTTCTAAGGCCAACCGTTGGGATAAAATAGTTGATGTCTTAACTATGGCAATATTGTATAGCATTTGTCTTGTCATATGGTGCTTAGCTAAGGGAAGCCAGCTATTTTATTTATTTATTAAAACAAACTTCATGATGCCTACAGGCATCCAGAAGTTGCAAATGCTGACGTGTATTTAAGTCTCATATGTAGTTTCCTATGGTTATGCTTTGATGTTAGGCAATTTGTGGCGTGAGTTTTGGGATACATCCAAGCCAGTTCCAGCAGTTAAACAAGTACCCCTCTTTGATGAGGATTTAGCCGTGTAAGTTGCAAAAATTTATGCTAATTTCTTATATCCGTTTTTGGTTTTAGTAAAAATTTCCGTCTGAAAAGAGTAGCATTGTGCATTGATCCTGTAGAGAAGGTATCCTGGATGGTTTTGATGACATATCACCTTCCGAGCTTTTTGAGCAGCTGTTTGTTTCTTTGGTAAGTTAATTTTCTATGTTGTTGTGTTTGCTTATTTTTAATATTTGTTTAGCATGTACTTTGCCCGTGCTCTGATCTTGTGCTAATGATGCCGGTTCTGCAATATTCAGCTTGGTTTAGGCTTTGTAATTGCTGAGGCTAAACTGTCCAGTAGTAGTGATTTTTCGAAGCTGTTCTATGAATGCAAGGAATATGTGGTTTCCACTTGTCAAAGCAGCACCCGGACTGAGAAGATTGATGAGCTTTGCCAGGTAGGATGGATCCATGATTAAACTTAAGGTTATAATATGACCAAGGTTGATAGTTATAATGTAAGTCAATTGGACTAGGATGATAAAGCCTTTGCAGGCCATTTAAAGTATACTTTGACAAACTTTTTGTTTTACAAGCAGCTAGAAGGGTCGGATTTGGGTTCACGGCTGGGACATGGAGACTGTACATAAATTAGGGATATAAACTACCAAACTGATAATCTGCTGAAAATCTTTGTCAATTCTTTGGTACAGGTATATGAAACAGTGGAGACTATGTTCCAGAATCCAGAGGAAGTCCTAAAAATGATGAAGCAACCAGAAGAATCAACGACCCCTTCCGGTGAACCAAAACGGCGTTTTAAGAGGCTCGTCCTCAACTTCGGTGGCAAAGATAGACAGTTAAAAAAATCAGCTTCAAAGGATCAGAAGAACTCAACGAGCCCTAGTAGCCAACCATTTTCAAGTTTCTTTGACAACAAGTCATCACTATTTTCAAAAAAGCCTCCTAAGCCTGAAAATGCCTCCCCTGTTGAAACACCTCCAAAGCCTGAAAATGCACCCCCTGCTGAAAAACCTTCGATTACAGACGAAAATGATTGGACGGTTGTTTAGTCGTAACTTCTTTTTTCTTTTTTCCTTTCTTGCCCTTATTTTTTGGTTAAAAACAGGCTTGATTTTGCTGGTAATTGTAAATTGTTTTGAGCAAAACGAGCTAATGGGGGGTTACCATTAGCCACAATTTAAATGAACTTATTGCCTTGAATTATAAAGGATGGGTTTATTGTCTAATTACACCTGGAATGAAAGAAAAAAAAAAAAAAAAGACTTTTGGTCAACATGTCCAAACATCACGTTCTATGCTTTAAAATCACCGGGTCTTTGGCCAAGATTAGTATTAAGATTAAACTTACAAATTTTGGGTGTCAAAACTGGACCCAAGAACAACATAAAAAAGGATCCCATTTACTGTTTTAAATTAGCTCATCAAGAATCACATTTGTAAACTGTCCATTCCACCTCAAAACCAACTTTAAAAGTAAGAACCTCTTGACATATTCTGCTAACATGTTCATCTTGTTTCCAGACTCAGTGCTCATGAAACCCCTTTTCACATCTTAAATAGGTCGTCTTCATCTTCTTCTTCTTCACCCACCTTATCGAATCCGAAATATTTCGTAATGAGAATTGGCACAACGAAATTTGAGAACAAGTAAGCAACAAAAAGTACCCCACTGCAACATAAAACAAACAAATAATTCCAACCAAAAAAAAAAAAAGAAAAAGAAGAAGAAGAAAATTTAGGTGATTAGAAAAAAGAAATACCCAGTTTGAAGGAGGACTGAAATGTCTCCAGACTTGGCAGGGGAAGTGACAGCAAGAGCAATATCATTGTGCATGGCCTTGGTCCTCAGAGAAGGAAAGTGCTGCTGCCTCTGTGCAGCAAGTTTATAATTAGTAGCTTCAATGGTGGAAATCAAAAGCACTTTACAACTACTCCCCAGCAGCTGCTGTCTGTGCTTGAGCTGTGTTTGCATGGGAAGCAATGCAGCAGGGTGAAGTTGGATGCACCTCATTCTGAAATCACAAGTGCTTTGCAGAAACGCTGGTTTATCTTCGCAACTTTTTTGTTGTTCTTACTTCTTTTGCCTAATGGGAGGATGGAATTTGGATAATGTTTTTGATTAATTATCTTCACCTGCTTTCAAGGAGAGTGGTTTTTCATGCGCCAGATGTGTGGACTGTGGATGCACCAGCTTAAGCTCTTGGGCTATACATTTGTAAATCTCCTATTTAGCCCAATGGAAGGCCTGGTTAAATGTACATAGCCCAAACTTCTGCCCAGCAAAATTGTACCTCTTTCTATTAATTAAGAGTAATTCTATGGCCACCTATTCTTTAATTTTTGTTAAAAGATAATTAAATACCTTTTTGTAAAATTAACAAGATGGAAAGACAGTTATTTTTTAAATACCTCTTTGTTTGATATATGAAGGTGGCTTGAAGATATTTACGGGTCCGCTTCATAATCATTTCCTTTTTAATTTTCAGTTTTCTACCATATATTTCGCCTCTATCTCTAACCGAAAATAAAAAAGGCTAAAACCAAAGAGTAACCACTACAAATAGTTCAACTTACTCACCACACTACAAATAGTGGTTTGGTTTAATTTTACAACTGGTAATAATTTTTTTGTGGTTTTTTGTCAATGGGCTCATCCTTGTTGGTGAATTCTTGATCTATATTTATGTTACCAACCAAATGAACCAATCCAGCCCCCGGAACCAAATAAGTTTCTCAATTATCAACTTTAAAAATATTAATTGTTGAAACTCTACAATAAATCAAGCTAACATAGCATTCTCTTTTACTTTTCCCCCTTTTTCATTTATATGGAAACTTTGCTTCACAACCTGCATATCTGTGCAAAGGCCTATTGGCTTGGTTGGCTTTCTAACTGTTATAGTTTGATTGTCTTCAAAACAACTCTAATTAGCGCCGACGGGGTCTAATTTAGTAGAAAATGACCTTGACTAGCATATTAGAGGTCTCAGATTCGAACTCTCATGGCATCTTAGTTGTGTGTAAGCAAGAAACCCTCTACCCTGTCCTGTCGTTTAAATTATTGCTTATACTAAAAAAAAAAAAAACTCTAAATTAGCTTAGGTTTGTCAAGCATTATTTGAACTTGATAGGACCTAGCATGCATAATGTAAGCCTATATACGCTAATAGGATTGAGATGATTACCACCAATTTATTCAATTATTAGTAGCCTTTTTCTAATTATTTATCCCTGCCTTTAATTTTACAGACAATAATGCAAATTAAAAAAATACATTTATTTTTGTGGGCTGAGTAGCTAGATAGCACGCTATCCCCTCTGTTCTGATTCTGAACATGGACCCAAAGGTTAAGGTAAATATTAGATGCATATTCTCTTTTTACGTACGACCGCCTAAATTTATTGTAATTTTCTTTGTTCGTTTAAGGTATGCCGTGATCTTTAGTGAATCCATAGATCTGCAAGATATCCATATTCAATCCTCCAATTACAGCCATAATCCATATTCCCAATTCAATGAATTCATCATGGAGTAATTTTTGTATGTTTCGGTACACTAATCAGTTGGTGTGCTCGAAACGTAAAAAAATTTCTTTTCTTCATCATGACCCAATTTTTCAGCAAGGCTATGGTTGCGATGAATTTATTTAAAACAAATAAATTCTGAAACCCAATAAAATATTTTGTTGTTGATGTTTATTTTACAGAAAAATACAATTTTAATCTTATATATATTTACGTGACTCTTGAGGTGATTCATGAGGGGCGCTTCTTGATTCATTTGTGGCTTATGGGACACCTATTTCTTATGTTCCACACAAATTTGCTCAAGTAAATAAGAATATTAATTCATTTTCTGACAGTTTCTGTAATGTTTTATAATTTCTAATCATTATCGATCTTTCTGATCTGCGGGGCGTTGAAATTGAAGGTGTGAAAATGAAGGGCAATGCTGTCTTCTAACTTGTCAGGCATTTATTATATACCTGCTTTAAAATGATAAAATATTATTTAGAGTGGAGAATGACAAATCGAATGTGCCAAGAAGAATTGGCCAAAACAAATATTGAAAAAGTGTATTTTTTAACCCACGATGGAAGGGGGTTTACACAAATATTTATTGGATGTCTAGGAGTTTTGACCCTCTACCTGCATGGGTGGAGGTGAAAGTGTTCAGTGTAATAACATATAATTTTTTTGGTGAAGTTTTAACATATTTTTTCAACTTTGATACTACATATACATTAGTCCATGAGAAAATTTTTGTTGTTGTTGAAATTCACCCAATAAATGTTCTTGGTATATCTAGGTCAAATAATTTCGGGAATGATATTAAGGGGCACCAAATTTGGTACTGAAATGAGACACATGTGGTCATCATCAGAAACCCATGAGAGAGAGAGAGAGAGAGAGAGAGAGAGAGAGAGAGAGAGAGAGAGAGAGCGACAGATCCAGATGTGAGATCTGCACGAGCATGA